ACAGTGTCCGCGGTGGCCATGTTCTACATTAGATGTTAAACGATTAAACACGGTCACATTAAAACCATTGACGACCGCGATTAAAATAAAAACTAACCGCCTTTGCTCCGTCAGGGATAACGAAGCAGAACTCACGGCACGGTACCTGCAGACGCGTCTCACCGCTGAGGTTTCAACAATACTGGCTTTATGTCCCGGAGCAAACTCACTCACCTCTGTTCTGATCCTTTCTCCACAGCAACCGTCAAGATTTAACAGAGCCCTCGGTGCATCGGTACTTGTCCAACCAGGTAAACATGCACGGGTCGGTCGGTCGGTGGAGAAACACTGCCCGCTATATGTTGCACCTGTCGAAAGGGCGTGGAGTTGGTTTCCGGCAGGTAAAACTCACCTCCTCAGTTTACTTTAGGAAGTGGACTCAGCCTCAGAAATCCCCCCGGCCGACCCTCCACCCATCCGTCCTGATCCCTCCGGTTACACCTCGGTGTGCACAGGCTTTTCCAGTGTCACCTCAGAGACTCCATACTGTCGCCAGGAAAAAAAAACACACAACAAAAACACAAAACAAACAAACAAACTCCAGACTTTAACAGAGATTAGTGCAACAGATCAACGTTGATCAATGATGGAGCTCAGCGGTGATCGTCTGTGCTCCAGTGACACAGTGACTGAGCAGCAGAGGAGGAGCGAAGCCCCCAGGAATTCTACACCCTCCCCCCTTTGTAAGAAGTGAGTCCTGGACTCACAATACATGTAAACATATCTGGGAACCCGTTATCAGGATTACAGTCTGTGTGATGGACCGTGAGCCTTTAATGTTGCTAATTATACAGGCATCTGAGAAGACCACTGAGATACTCTACATCAGTGGTTCTAAAGGTGGGGGGCGGGGGCAGGTTATAGCTTTTGGTAGGGGTGCAAGCGACGCTATGTCATTTGTAATTTAGTGTTTTTGTTCAATGAAAATATTAAGTTGTGTTGACTCAACCTCAACTTGTACCGAAAAAAAAAAAAATCTCAAAAATAGTTTTTTATAACAGTAGAAATAATAATAACAGCCAACACTGACTCCTGTCATAATGACAGGATCCATATGCAGAAGCATCAGTTCACCAACATTCTTTCCCCACCCTCCTTAAAGCAGCTGAAGAAGTTAATACCACTGCTTACTGCAAAGACCAACATGGTCAACCCTTAGTTATTTTTTTTAAAACTCCAAGAGCAACTGCAGTTCTAGAAGTAGCAAACAAACCTGAATCTAAATATGAATCTGTAAATGACCAATTTTGAAGATTCCCACAGCGTTCTTCTCTTTTTTTTCTGTTGGAAATGTTCTCTATTATTGTTGCAATTTAGCAAAATAATTTCAGTTTCTGGGAAAGAAGAACAGATTTCTAGGTTCATTCTCCACTTTCGTCTGGAGCTTCTTCTTTTGGATCTAACCTTTAAACATTTGCAGACAGTTCCCATGGTTTCATGAATGATATTAGACCCAAGCAATTTTAGTTTTTATTTTCACAAGAACAAGGTAACAAAACTTACAAGACCCAGGATTTTTTTGTATTATTTTCTTATCAAAAACGACGAGTAAAAAGTTAACTTATCCCAGATTAAAAAAAACAAAAAAAAACAGTATTTTTAACATTTCCCAAACATGGTCTTTTTTTTTTACAACTCAAATCTTGAGTGAATTGGTCATGTCGTCAAGTGTCCTCTGTTGATCAACTCACTTTTCACAACCAAAAAAAAAAATTGCTCTCTCTGTGCATTCATTATTTGACGATTAAAAGTAAAAAATAAAACAAATGCTCAAAAATATTTGACTACGTGTGTGTGTTTGTGTGTAGGTGTTAGCCATCTTGTTGTTGTATAAATGGGTTTGGTATGGCCTCCATGCCATCCTGAGGACAGATGAGGACCACAGAGGTCCCTCTGCAGACCACCAGCCCCAGCTGCCTGGTGTCTTCTGTCAGCTTCAGCTGATCATCTGGATCTGAGATTTAGACGAGACGA